TGATAAATTAGGAAACAGATTAAGTGTAATAAACAGGCACAAACTAGAATTTCCAAAGATGAGAAAAATAGTACCTTGTTCTGCATCTCATCTAGTTGCTGCTATCGCTGTTACTGTGGTTGTTGTTGTTGTTGTTGTTGCTGCTGCTACCATGATGATTACCAGCAGCCACAACTCTTCTCCCATGCTTGAGCTGCGAGATTTCCAGCTGCGTCTTCATGAAGAATTGCATTCTTTGCAGTTCCAGATCCTTGGCAAATTTCATCCTCTGCTTCTCCATTACTACCACTTGCTGCAGCTTCGAACTCTCTGCTTGTTCATACGCCTCACCAAATTTCAGAATTGCTTGCGTTAATTCACTCACTGCATTTACCCATCCCTTTTCTCTCGATCCGTTCTTTCCCTTTTCAGTTTTCCCCACCTGAGCCAGTTTCGGATTCACCACCTCCTTCTGAACCCTAACATTTTTGCTCCGAACTTTCTTTTGCCGGTAACTATCACTGGAAGTTGGGGATGTTTCTCTGTCGGAGCCTGAGGAATCGGAATCTGTAGTACGAGGCCGCTTGTGGTACTGGATCTTCTGAGCTTTTGGCCCCTTCTGTTGCTGTTGTTGACTATGATTATGGTTCTGCTGAGCCTGGTACGGATTCACCGGTCGATTCACTACAGGAATTCCTAGAGGAACTTTCTGGTTCGGCTGCAGAGGCGGATTTACACCGGCGATAGAAACAGAATTCTTCGAAGCCGCCGGACCGATCAATAGATCCAATCTATCATAAAATGGCCACTTACTGGGGCCTCCTCCAGCAGTAAGCTTAGCCTTCTCAGTCTTATACTTCTTTTTGACCGTATCTATCCGATTCTTGCACTGAATGTCAGTCCTCGGTATCTTGGTATAATCCTCTCTACTACTCACAATGTCAGCCACCTCTTTCCAATGCTTCTGCTTCAAATTCCCTCTACTCAGTTCCAAATACCTCTCTCCCCAAGCATCAATCAGCACCGACGTCGCGCCTTCGCTCCAGCAATCCTCTCTTCCGCCTCCGCCGCCCTTAGACTGCTGAATCGGCAGCGCCAAGGTTATCGTATTTAGAGCAGATGGCGGAGGAGGAGGCGCCGCCGCCGCAACCGTCACGGTAATCCGGCCGTTAGAGATCGGAGAAGCCGGAGATCCACTCCCTGGCGACGGAAAGGACTGAATCTCATCGTCTTCCTTCATGGAATCCGGCCCAATCTTGAACAAAAGATCGTCGATCCCAAAATGTTGCACAACGATCTGACTAGTAGATGGATATAACAAGATATTAGTTCACCGGCGCATGCGAATCGGTCCGGTACCGTCATGAGCAGGAAATGTGCCGCGATCTGAAATGCGAAGGTCCCTATTCGATAGAGGGAGAGAGAAACAAAGGGTGTTAGGGTTTGGGAATAGGGATTGAGGTTGACCGGAGAAAATGGAATAAATTCTTCAAGAAAAAATGGGGCGTTTAATTTGGTTGACGGAAAGAACAGAGGAGAGGGAACTGACGGCGTCGGTGAGGGAGTAAATGGGGTGGAGGAGAGACGTGGCGGTAAAGTACCGAGGGATAGATACATGGCGGGAGGTGATTGGTGTGTTTTTGTACTCGGAGTGACCGTGATGACGCTGCCGGTAAAGCCTTGCATCGCTGTTTTTATGTGGTACGGTTTTTAATGTCTTGTCTGATTACAATTTTACCCTCCCCATCTGCTCACCAACACCAGATAGAATTTCTTTTTTTATTTTTTATTTTTTTTTATTTTTATAGTTTAATAGACATAAAGTTTAGAGTTATAATTAAACAGATATTAGACACAAAATTAAAAAATATCATAAATCAATTATATATAAAATTAAAAAGATATTGACTAAATTTGTATATATATATATATATATATAATTATTAGGATATTTTAACTGCGACATAAAGTTCATAACTAACATAAAAGGAACACTCACAGGTTAAGATCCTGATGGCTATGGAAGAGAAGATTGGAGTGTCCGTCGGAGAAGGTGGAGCTGAGGGCACCGCTGATCTGATCGAGAAACTCAAGGCAACCTCTGCAAGTTAAACCAAGCAGAAACATCCATTTATGCCTTCAAATCCCAATAATTTTGCATTTCAGTTTGTTATGTCTTTGTTCATCATTAATTCAAGTAGTTGTTTGTGGTTCAAAACTAATTCAAAGCCTGAAGACCAAAGAGAGAAGAATTGCAATCTGAATGAAATAAAATATTATGCATAATTCATAAGTTATTTGCCTGCTTCTCGTTCAATGGTCGAAGCCATAAGACTGTGCTAATTGAGATCCTGCAACATATGGAAACTGGAAACACTAAACGTTGCTCTTCTACAGACTCCATAATGATTCGCAAAAGATAGAGCAGTTTCGATGCACTTTGATATCTCTATCAACAGAGGAAATCTACAGGATCTCAAAGAAACAGAACTTTTCTTCTAAGATTGAAACAGATTTTATTATTCATGTTCCTTGCAGAAACTAGAAGGAAGGAATTCATTAACTCAAAGATGAATAAGCCTCCTAAAGACTAATTACTTTACTTCTAAAAATCAGTTTGCAAGCATTTTTCCTTTCAATCGATTGAAACCTTATCATTTTAAATCGTATTTCGATCAAGATAAATAAATGATGCATGTGAACGGACGATTAGTGAATAAAGAAATTAAATGTTTAATTCATTACTTCTAACCGTCTTGTTCCAGTTTAGACGATCATTTCAGGCGTCACCGCTGCAGGAAATAAGAGACAAAATTACACATACAACAAACTGGTCAAATGTCCGAATAAATTTCATTCCACCAGGTAGCGTTATTGCTTCAGTTTTCCGGAAAACACAGTCGTCTTAGCAGGAGGTTTAAAAATTTCAGAATACGCATAGATTTAACTGCAAGTATACAAAAAATAAACGATCAATCAAATGATTCAAAAACAGAAAAGCTCACGAGTGAAATGAGATTATTCCCTCGAGAGAATCAATCATCCTTCCATTACGATCATCCGAGAAGCTCCTGAAATCGGAGTTACTCCTGAGAATGAAGATGCTCCGAGTTACAGGAATGTCACCGGAAATCTTAACCATAGGCGATTCCGATACCGAAAAGGAATCATGCTTGCGAAGCATTCCGAAGCCGGTGTCTGACATAGGGCCTGCAAGCGTCCCGTCCCATAGTTTGTGAAGAAAAGCAGTCATGATTTCCTCTGCAACAAGAAATCAGAACGCGCAACCAAACAATTATATAAAATTCACTTACTACAAGAGAATAAAAGCCAAGAACACGAAATTAAAATTATAGCTAAGAATAAGCCAATTATTTTAAAAAATAATATATATGTATATATATATATATTGGTGAAGTTTGGAGTTTGGTGAACTAGAATTTGGGCTTCCAAAAGTTTATGAGGCCCATGAACATTTGAACGGGCTCGAGTTTGCAAGAAAGGCCCAAACGAGGCCCACGAACATAGTTTTAATGTTAGGGTTTAGAGCTTAGGGTTTAAAATATTATCAAACCTTAAATTTTCAATTTCACGGAATTAAATATTTGACATTTTGTTAGGGATACACGGTTGCTTATAAATATTTGACATTTAATTTATTTAAATTGTAATTATTCAACTGAAGATTTAAGTCGAGTTGAGAGAATTCTTTTCGTATTACTTGGGTCATCGACGCAGCTAACTCAAAATTTCAAGTAATTTGAACTGGGTTCGGGTAGATTTAGAATTATTATGAAATGAAACTACGTCACGTCCACCTACAACAAAAAAAAAAAAAAAAAAAAAAAAAAAAAAATTGTTCAAGTTGCAATTTGATTATTAAGAACTTTCCTCAACTTGTCCACTTTTGGAAAGGATCTTGTTTGTCCCCCAACTTGTCATTATCCCAATTCTTCAAACACCCCTAAATTCATAAATATAACCCATTTGTTCTTTTAATTATTCCTTTAAATTCCTAACTTGTCATTATACGATCAGACATTTTATAGATATTGTCCACTTTGAGCGTAACCTCTCATGGCTTTGCTTTGGGCTTCCCCAAAAGGCCTCATTCCAATGGAGAGTATTCTTAGATTATAAACTCATGATCATTCCCTAAATTAACCGATGTGGAACTTTCATCATCCAACACAGTCTATTTATTTGAGTTGGATTTGGTTCGTTCGAGTTGTTTGGATTATTTATTAATTTTTTTTAATAAAATCAGATGGATAAATAAATAAATAAAATTATAATAAAAAATTATAAAAATAAATAAATAAATAATCCATAACCTAATTATCGAGTTTGAAATATTTATTAGATAATTGGAAGTTTATTTCGAATTTAATTTTTAGAAAAGTTTTTATTTTAAAAGGTGGTGGATAAAATTGTAATTTTACTATTTAAAATTTAATAAATGCTGTTTAAGTTGGTTTGCAAGTTGCAGAGAGCGGTGGGCCCCACTATGTTTCAAACACAAACAGTAATGTGGGCCACCACAGCTTTGGCTGGCCAATCCATCGTCAAGCAGAGGCTTTTCATTTTTTCTCTTTTGAAATTTAATAATGTGGGGCCCATACCCACGTGATTCTAGACCTGAAATGCCAATTTTACCCCTACAACATCTCAAAACAACAAAACTGCCACCTATAAACGTGCGCATCTTGGAAACGTAATAATATATATATTTTTGTTTTTGTGAAATTCTAATGATTTATGACGTTAATAAATTTTTGGAGATAAAAATAAAAGTTCTAAAATGAAATTAAATATAAGTTTACAATTACATAAAATGAAAATATAAATATTTAAAAAAAAAAACAGAACAGTAAATATGACGATTACGTCATCGTCATATCATTGTCCCGCCCATGTTGTTGCCTTTTGGCTTCGGCAACGACACTAGATTTAACCATCAGCGCAGCTTCGCTGATTCAAAACGACAACTTTCTTTGTCGTCTGCCTTTGCCGTGTTTTTTCTTCTTCTACCGTTTCCTCCGCCAATTCCTGCCCTTGTTGCCGCCGCCGCAGCCGCCGCCGCCTCCTCCACTCTGAATTTTAATAATTTAGAGGAAATTAAGAAAGGTTTTAAGAGTACAATTATAATCTAGAGTACTGCTAACCCCCATGGAGAAGCTTTGGAATGAGTTCACGTTGTTCATATCCATATCCGACGAGTTTAGCTTGTTGCCCGAACTGGAACATTCGGAGTGCAACGAGGACGATGAGGACGAGAAATATCTTGTCGGTGAATTCGGTCCCAAACCGTCCTCCTCCTCGTCATCATCGTCGAACATTTCTTGGAATAGTTCCTGCAGTTTCTCGAAGCTTTCTTCTCCGTTTTCCTGTCGTTTTAATTTTGCCCAATGAAATCATTATAATTCTAATTTCTACCAAATTCACCCTCTTACGAGAAAGTTCCTAATTTCTAACATAGTATTAAAATTATGCCTTTAACTTAGGCATGTTAATATAATTAAGTGTCAAACAAATAGTGTACTTTGTTTGAGAGGAGAAGCTTTATCTCCTTATTGAAATCATACTCTTTTATGATTATCATTTTAACCGAGAATTCCATCTCATTTACAATGAATCTTAAAATTGACGTCGCTATGATCAAAATTTGCTACAAAAAAAGAGGAAGGGGCTTACGCTAGGCTTAGTTTGGTCCATCATGGCAACCATTTCGGTCAAGAAGTCACCTATATCCTGCAAATGAAAGTGAACCAAACAGAGTCTTAACAATTGAGGGATCATGGCCCCACCAATTTCCCTGAACCAAACCCAAATTTAATCTTAATCAAATGAATAACCGAAGGAGCACTGTAGTGTTAAGCTGTGGAGGAGCTTACGTTATCATCGTCATCACTGTCATAAACTCCAACGTCGTACAACAGCCGCTTGTTCGCGTCCGATAAAACTGTACAGAATCAATGCCTCGTAATAACAAAAATAAAACGACAATTATTATTAAATAAATAAAAGAAAAATTAGTGAAATTACCAGAATAGGCTTGCTGAATCGCTTGGAATTTCTTCTTAGCTTCTTCCACGAACTTCGAGTCTCTCAACGCCGAACACCGATCCGGATGCCATATCTAACACCGAACCAAACGAAAAACCTCAAAAAAAAAAAAAAAAAAAAAAAAGATAGATCAAAAACTGAGAAGCCTAATTAATTACCATAGCCAGTTTCTTATACGCATTCCGAAGCTCCGCTTCGGTGCATTCCTTCTTCAGCCCCAAAACGGCATACAGATCGTCGTTTTTGTGATTCTCACCAGCCATTTCTCTTCCTTCAAAACAGACCTCAGGTTGGTTCGGTTTACAGAAATCCAAACCTGCTAAACGATGAATCGGAACGATCATTCATGGTGATGGTGGAGAACGACATGTCGAAATCGGAGCTCTTAGGAGAAGAATCGAAGGCGATGAAAGGCCATTGGCTTAGAGGCTCAAGAACTCTCCAGAACCATGGCCCTTTTATAGTTTATTTATTTATTATTATTTAAAATGTTTTTTTGGGAATTAAATAATTAGAATGTGTGAAATATTGGGGTTTAGAGGAAGAGGGGGATAAGGTGGAGATGTGCGGCTGAGATTGAATCTGAGAGTTGGATATTTTATTTTTATGAATTAAAAATGTCTCCAGAAACTTCTGTTTTTACTGCGAAAAGGTCGCGTATTATTTATTTATTTATTTAATTATTTAATTTAAGGCATTAATCCCCCGTTGTGAATGTGATGGATAATAATATAAGGAAGCCGCTTCATGGGTCCCACTTGCAATTTGCCTCCGGATTTTAGCTTTTGGTTAATCAACTTGCCACTTTACCATACAATAAAATAATTAAATAAATAAATGGAACCTATCCATTTAAAATAAAATATAATAATTACATTTAATTTTCTTAGTTATAGCGCTTCAATAATTTTTAAGTTAAATAATTAAATTATTATAAATTTAATACGAATATTAGACCTACGTGTGTTTGTGGGTTGATTCGAATACTTCGAGTAGTTTATTTAAAATTTTATTTTTAATAAAAGTAAAATATTAATTTTTTAATATTAAAAAAAAAAAAGTGAAATGGAGTGTGTGGCGGTGAGCAGGACAAAAATAATATCTGAAAAGGAGAAGTGGAATAATAATATAATAATATAATAATAATATATATATATATATATTTGGCAATGTTCGTAAAACAGTATTCCAGAAACAGGGGACAGGTTTTTATTTATATTTAATTTAAAAATTAAAATTTAATTGAGAGAAGGAAAGGCCCAAAAAATGAGTCCAAAAGTAGAGGAAGAAGAAAGAAGAAGTTGAGAGTCAGAAGAGAACCAAAAGTGGTCCATTTTATTAATGGTCTAATTTTGTAAGCCCACGTGAATTCACGTTCCAATGTCCTCCAACTCACGTGCCCATTACTTTTTTTTTTTTTTTTTTTTTTTTTTTTTTTTTTTTTTT